AAATTGACAAAAAACAAATCAAATATTTGAAGTAAATGAATAATCTTAGATCTGTTGTGCTAGGATAACACCAAACCAATTGGAACCAACTCAAGCTAACCCACAGATAATATCAAATGAAGTGCAAGAACAAAATATAAAAGACACCAAGATTTTAACGAGGTTCCTCAACAGTCAGTGTAACTGGAGTACGTCCTCGAAGCAGTAAGAGTTCACCCAATAATCCGCTATCAACCAAATGAGAGTTTACAAAGTATTGGCAATCTCACAACCCAAAACCCCAATACACCCAATAACTCTCACTCACCAAATAAACAAATAGAGAATGACATATAATGAATAATTTCCTCTTTATATAAAGCTCAAAGCTAATACAATAAATACAACTTTGATGGAGTGATAGTTAACCAATGAGAGATCACACTTTCTTCTTCTCTCCAAAAAGTGGGGTTGCGGCAGTTTTTTGTTTTGCCCTGCTGCTCTTCTATTTTCCTGCTCAGAAACAAAAAGGCAGCAGTTGCCCTAATTAAAAACCTAGCCATTCCCGTGGCTTTCCAAATGGGCCAAATAAAAAGGTCCCTTTAAATGGGCCGTTGGGCTTACATATAAAGGCCCCTAGAATTTGGCCAAATATTCAACAAGATCATGCAAGAAGAAACACCTCATAAACCAATTAAAGCAGCTGAATTCACATAATAAAATCGATATCCATAGAATTTATATTAAGAATAGAGAAATAATATTTAATAAACAATTGATTTAATCACATTATTGCTAGTTGATTGTGAGTCTAAGCACACCTCTTTCACCTTAGTGTAGATAATATCGTTTGTTAAAAAAAAAAATCATTTGACAACTAATTTAATCAAATTATTATCCGTTGCGAAAGACCTTTTTTATAACCGGCATTACACGCCTCTTAAGATGTTTTGGAACGTATTTAAAAATAGAGAAAATAATATTGAATGAACAACTGATTGAATCACATTATTGCTATCCCATTGTGAGGCTAAGCCCACCCACCTCTCCCTTAGCATAGATAATATCGTTTGTTAAAAAAAAAACAATCTGACAACTAATTTAATCACATTATTATTAGCATGCGAAATACTTTTTTTATAATCGGCATTACACGCTTCTTAATATGTTTTGAACGTGTTTAAAAATAGAGAAATTGAATCACATTATTGATAACTTATTGTGAGGTACTAATTAAAAAAAAGCACAAAAAAATTAATTATTAAAAAAAATAAGGGTTTTTATCACAAATAGTCCCTGACATTGATCAAACACATCATTTTGGTCATTGACATTGAAAATCAATAGAAATGGTCCCTGACATTGATCAAACACATCACAAATGGTCCTTCCGTTAAAAACTTTTTGGGCAATTTTCAAAGCTTTGTAACTCAATCGTTTCTTAACCAAATTCGACCCATGATATATCAAAATGAAGATAGGAAAGTGTAGAACAAGATTATACCTATTTGGAAGCCCAATGGTTGCCGGCGATGGCCAGAAAATAGCCTCAAATGTGACTGGTCCGCGAAAAAACTGGAAAACTTGCTTGAAATGGGGTAAACTTTAAACATTCATAACTTCTTCAATACTCAACGAAATTGAGTGATTCAAAAATGAAAATCATACTTCTCAACGAGAAAAAGAGAATGGTACCTTTATTGACTGCTAATTTACGATGGTTTGACCGAAAAATGGCTCGAACTTGGATAACCATTTTTGAGTTAGCCAATTTCGAGTCGTTTTCCGGACAAACTATGACGAGTTAGCCATCAATAAAGCTACCATTCTCTTAGTCTCATCGAGAGGTATGATTTTCGTTTTTGAATCACTCGATTTCGTTGATTATTGAAGAAGTTATGAATGTTTAAAGTTTACCCCATTTCAGGCGAGTTTTCCAGTTTTTTCGCGGACCAGTCACATTTGAGGCTATTTTCCGGCCATCTCCGGCAACCATTTGGTTTCCAGATAGGTATAATCTTGTTCTACACTTTCCTATCTTCATTTTGATATATCATGGGTCGAATTTGGTTAAGAAACGATTGAGTTACGAAGCTTTGAAAATTGCCCAAAAAGTTTTTAACGGAAGGACCATTTGTGATGTGTTTGATCAATGTCAAGGACCATTTCTATTGATTTTCAATGTCAGGGACCAAAATGATGTGTTTGATCAATGTCAGGGACCATTTGTGATAAAAACCCAAAAAATAATGATAAATGATGAAAATACCCCTACCTTATTTGATGCATTATTTTGGGATGCCTTTGAAGTTTTTAGTCTTGGGAGCATTTTTGTCCAAATATTTTTGTTGAAGCTTGGTGACACCAAAAATACTATTCACCTTTTGTGTTCTCTTTATGTATACTAGTCTTCATGCACGAGCTCACGAGTGTGCAAAAGACATTTTTTGAATCACGATGTGCTACCACGACTTACATGTTTTAAATGTATTTATATGTGTAAATTGATAAAAGAAAAGTCAAATATTTGAAGTAAATAAATAATCTTACATCATGCTAGAAGAAACCCCTCATAAACCAATTAAGCTGCTGAATCCACATAATAACATCGGTCTCTATAGAATATACATTAAGAATAGAGAAAATAATATTTAATAAACAACTGATTTAATCTCTTTATTGTAGCCCATTATGAGACTAAGTACACCCCCTCCTCCTTAGTGTAGATAATATCCTTTAAAAAAAATCATTTGACAACTAATTTAATGTTAATAAACAACTTATTGAATCACACTATTACTAGCCCATTGTGAGGTTAAGCCTATTCCCTTTCCCTTTAGTATAGATAATATCGTTTGTTAAAAAAAAAAAAAATTTGACAACTAATTTAATCATATTATTATCCACGTGGGAAAAACCTTTTTCATAATTGGTGAATCACATTATTATCTGTGTGGGAAAGACCTTTTTTATAATCGGCATTACATGCCTCTTAAGATGTTTTGAACATATTTAAAAATAGAGAAAATAATATTTCATGAATATCTGTGTGATGACCCTTATTTTCAAAACTTTTGCCTATTTTTTTTAATTATTATATATATTTACTTACAATTTTATTATTTGAGCAAGTAATATCTATAGTTATTTATTGGGTTAATCTCTGTTTACTACCCTAAAATTTCGTGGTTTCAACATTTGATAAATGAAGTTTTTTTTCATCTCAGAGTCATACCTCAAGTCTTAATTTTGGGACAGTTTCATACTTCCGTTAAGTTTTCCGTTAGAATTTTTGTTAACTGATGATGTGGGGTTCATGTGGACAATAATTAAGTACCACGTGTCAATATGGACCCACTTTAATATTAAAAAATTAAAAAACAAATACAAAAAAAAAAGCCAACCTGTCCCCTCACCCCCGCACCCATCTTTTCTCTTCTGCAAATCCCAGCACCTCTCGATTTCTTTCTCTCTCTCTCTCTCTCTCACTACCCTCACTCTCATCCTCCGCCTTATTCACCGTAAAAAGAAGACGACGAGAAAGAAAACCCACCCGCCCCCCCTCTTCCCCGATCCCTTCCTTTTCTCTTTCCCGATCTCTCCCACACCTCCCTCTTCACCTCTCTCTCTCTCCAAGCACATCTGAGCTTCTCTATGTCCATGTAGGTGTCGAAGATGTCGTCATCGGAGCTGCCCAACTCTTTGAAGCCGCAGGACAGGCCGTCGAACGGGTCCTGGAGCAGATCCAGGTCGTCAGGGATCTGGAAATGGCCTCGGATTGGGTTCGACGGTGGTAGGAGCCCTGGAACGGGGTGCTCGGAGTCGTGTCTGGAAACGGCGGGCGCCATGCGTGGGTGGTGAGAGTCCTGAGAGCTGGAGCTCGGATCCGGTTTCGGGTTGGCCGGATCTTGCATTTTGTCGAGTCCGGCGCTTAGAGCTCTCTTTCTCTCTTTTCTTACGACCGTACTAGATGTGTTGACAATGAGTGTTCTTCACTCAAGATCTAGATGGTCAGGGTTAGGGTGTGGCTCAGAGGCTTTGCTGTCGAAAGTCAAAGCTCTCGATTCGGAGGACATGGAGAACCAGAAAGGTTAGGGAATCACAGTAAGAGATTGATTTGCTGGGTTTCTGCGGGGTTTTGTAAGGTGTGGGTTCAGAGAGATTGGCAGAGAGATTGGCGGCGGTGGTGAGGTTTGCTGGATGTTTCTCGTCGTCTTCGTTTCACGGCGAATAAGGTGGAGGAAGAAAGTGAGTGTAGTGAGAGAGAGAGAGAGAAAGAAAGAAATCGAGAAGTGCTGGGATTTGGGTGGGGTGGGATTTGGGTGAGGTGCTGGGATTTGCAGAAGAGAGAATGGTGCGGGGGTGAGGGACAAGTTGGGCTTTTTTTTCATTATTTTTGTGTTTTTTTTTAATTTTTTAATATTAAAATGGGTCCATATTGACACGTGACGTTCAATTATTGTCCACGTGAGCGCCACGTCATCAATTAACAGAAATTCTAACGGAAAACTTAACGGAGGTATGAAATTGTCCTAAAATTAAGACTTGAGGTATGACTCTGGGATGAAAAAAGCTTCATGTACCAAATGTTGAAAACCACGAAACGTTAGGGTAGTAAACAGAGATTAACCCTTATTTATTTATTTGAACCTACAACATTTTCTCACCTATCTTCACTGCCTTTATCTTATCTCATTTTTCCATCTCATAGCTTACACTTGTCAAGTTATTGCGTCTAACGTGTCATGACCATGTTCATAGTAATCTATAGTAATTTTAGATTTGCATTTTGAGGTGCTTGTAATTACCCTTCCCAGCTACCACATCCATCACTTATTTATACCTCCTCCTTTGTTTCGATAACCAAGATAAGAGCCATCCTCTATGTCTATCTATAAATATGTATTCTATTAATATAGTTTACTTCTTGGTTAAGTTTTCTTGGCCACTACGTTTGGGTAGCGGCCTTATACTCCTATAAATAGGAGCAAAGGCTCCATTCTTTTGAAACCACAGAAACATGCAATGCATGCATTACGTAGGGGTGATGTACATATAGTATATATCTATGTATACATATATATGTACGTGTGTGTGTGCGTGTGTGTATTATATATGTAGAGAGAGAGATAGCGAGCTAGGGTTAGAGAGTTTAAGGTGTGTGGAGATGTTAGTTGGGTTGTCTTGCCAAAGCTTGGATAATCAAGGTGAGTGGTTTATCTAATGTGTTCAAATTATTTCTTATTTTCTGATAAACGAAAACCACAAACTATTGTGGGTTTTATTTATTTATAAATCTCTATCTAATTCAAGTCAAGCATGTTGGATTTGTTGAAATGTTTTGGAATTATTAATATAGTGATATGTGTGAATTATTTGGAAATGTTCATGGAGCATGAGAACTTTAGTGTTGCATTAATCTGAGGGATAAATGTAAACTGCACACGGGGACATTAGGGCAGATGGCCATTAAGAGTCACGTGGTGAGTTACAATTTATGAAGGATATAATGGACACGTAAAGGGATGATGTGATATGGAATTACGTGCCTAAAACTTTGATATTATTATTCTATTTTATAGTGTGATTAAAATGGTAAGCTTGACTGGCATATTATATATTCTACTCATTGAGCGACGGTGGTTGTTGTTCACCCCTCACCTATTATTTTACAGATGAGTTATTTGGCAAGACAAGTGTTATTTGGCAAGACAAGTGTTGGAAAAGCTGAGGTTGTGATTGAAGAGAAGTTTAAGGATTTTAATTTATTATTTTTGTACACCCTGTAAGGATTTTGAAGTTATATTTAATAAGAGGAGTTTATATTTTCCAACCCGTGTCAATTTCTTTTTATCTATTTTTACTTTTAACTCGCGTTTCGGATTTGGATTCGAGTTTTTTTTACTGACTTCAGATCCGAGGCGTGACAATCTGATTGAATCACATTATTGCTAACCTATTGTCAAGTACTAATTAAAAAAAAACTGAACTAATTTATCACCGGCGCTATGCGTCTCTTAAGATGTTTTGAACACAATATTCTTGATTTTCCTAATTTTTTATTATATTTTTCTTTCCCCTTCACGTGGACACCATCAACTTTCACTCATCCTTCCATTTTTTAATTATTTTCTCTCTTTCCATTTATATTTATATTATATTTATGATGACCAAATTACCCCCGCATTATTTGATATATTATATTGGGCTGCTTTTGGATTTTTTTTTGTTGATGGGCAATTTTATCCTAATATTTTAACGAAGCCGTGAGACCAAATTGGCACTGTTCATTGCCCTATTCGCTTTATATATAACTAGCCTCCATGCACACCCCCACACGCGTGCAAAAGGTATTTTTTGAATTACGTTGTGCTACGCGTGATTTACACGTTTTGAATGTATTTATATGCGTGAATTGACAAAAGGAAAGTAAAAAATATCGTTTGTTAAAAAAAATAATCATTTGACAACTAAGTTAATCAAATTATTATACGCATGCGAAAGATCTTTTTTATAACCGGCATTACACGCCTCTTAAGATGTTTTGAACGTGTTTAAAAATAGAGAAAATAATATTTAATGAACAACTGATTGAATCACATTATTGCTAGCTTATTGTGAGGCCCTAATAAAAAATTTAAAAAAAAACTACAAAAAAAATAATTATTAAAAGAAATAATGTTAAAATGATGAAAATACCCCTATCACATTTAATGCATTATTTTGCGTTGCTTTTGAAGTTTTTTGTTTGAGGGGCATTTATGTCCAATTATTTTTGGTGAAGCATGTGACACCAAAAATCACTATTCAAAAGCATATCGGCTTTATATATAAGATACTAGTCTTCATGCACACGCTTACACCCGTGCATAAGACATTTTTTGAATCACTGCGTACTACGTGTGGCTTACATGTTTTAAATGTATTTTTATGCATAAATTGACAAAAGGAAAGTCAAATATTTGAAGTAAATGAATAATCTTAGATCATGCTAGAAGAAACCCCTCATAAACCAATTAAAGCAGCTAAATTCACATAATAAAATCGATTTTTATAGAATTTACATTAAGAATAGAAAAAATAATATTTAATAAACAATTGATTGAATCACATTATTGCTAGCCCATTGTGAGGCTAAGCCCACCCCCTCTCCCTTAGTATAGATAATATTGTTTGTTTAAAAAAAAAATCATTTGATAACTAATTTAATCACATTTTTATCCCCGTGGAAAGACCTTTTTTATAATCAGCATTACACACCTCTTAAGATGTATTGAACATGTTTTAAAATAGAGAAATTGAATCACATTATTACTAGCCTATTGTGATATACTAATTTTTTTTTAAACAGCACAAAAAAACTAATTAAAATGACGACGGTATTTTTTAAATCACGGCATGCTACGGACGACTTACACATTTTAAATGTAATTATGTACGTAAATTGACAAAAGGAAAGTCAAATATTTGAAGTAAATTTATAATCTTAGATCATGTTAGAAGAAACCACTCATAAACCAATTAAAGCAGCTAAATTCATATAATAAAATCTGTCTCTATAGAATTTACATTAAGAATAGAGAAAATAATATTTAATAAACAATTGATTGAATCACATTATTGCTAACTTATTATGAGGCTAAACTCACCCCCTCCATCTTAGTGTAGATAATATCGTTTGTTAAAAAAAAAAAATCATTTGACAACTAATTTTGTTAAAAAAAAATAATCATCATTTGACAACTAATTTAATCACATTATTATCCACTTGCGAAAGATCTTTTTTTTATAACCAGCATTACACGCCTCTTGTCATGTTTTGAACGTGTTTAAAAATAGAGAAAATAATATTGAATGAACAACTGATTGAATCACATTATTGCTAGTCCATTGTGAGGCTAAGCCCACCCCCTCCCCCTTAGTGTAAATAATATCGTTTGTTAAAAAAAAACAATCATTTGACAAGTAATTTAATTACATTATTATCAGCATGCGAAATATTTTTTTTATAACCGACACGCCTCCTAAGATGTTTTGAACGTGTTTAAAAATAAAGAAATTGAATCACGTTATTGCTAGCCTATTGTGAGGTACTAATTAAAAAAAAGCACCAAAAAATTAATTATTTAAAAAAACACTGTTAAAATGAAAAAAATACCCCTACCTTATTTGATGCATTATTTTGGGATGCCTTTGAAGTTCAGATAAGTAAAAAATGCGCCTCATATGCGGACTTTAAAAAGGATTTTCAGTTCAAATCTCATTACAATACAACTCATATTCACTAGTTTCACTATTACACAAAATAAACGAGTGAGTTGAAGACATCAACATCCACATTAATTATTTTACAGTCATAATTAACTGAAGAAATTGGAGTTCCACCGTAAAATCAATTGACAATATAAGAAGTAGTCTAATTATTTATAAGCACATGCAAAATCCGTTATTTCGCTGATGTGGGATTCATACATTGAACACTTCCCCTCACGTGGCAAATTTTTAAGCTTAGCATGTGGATAAGACAAATCGTGTGACATGGATCACGTATGGCTGTTGGGCTTCACACATGGGACAACCTAACTCTGATACCATGAAGAAAGTTGAGGTTCAATTATAAAACTAATTGGCAATATGGGGATTACCCAACTTACTCATAAGCCCATACAAGTTCCCTTATTCCGTTAATGTGGGATTCAGTCTCAACACGCCCTCACACATGTGACGAATTTTCAAGCTTAACACGTGAACAACACAACGGGATGATGTGGAGCGCATGTAGCCGTTAGACTTCACACGTAAGACAACATGCTCTGATACAATGAAAAAAGTTGAGGTTCCACCATAAAACAAATTGGCAATATGAGGAGTAGCCCAACTTATTTATAAGCTCATGCAAGGTCCCTCATTTCGTCAATATGAGATTCATTATCAACACACCATCACACGTGTGGCGAATTTTCAAGCCTAATATGTAGACAACACAATCGGATGACGTAAAGCACGTGTAATCGTTTAACTTCACATGTGAGACAACATACACTGATACCATAAAGAAAATTGAGATTCCACAATAACCACCCCCAATCCATACATACATACTCTTTCCCTTATTGATATTCTCAAATACTGTGACCACCACATGGTTTATTATTAATTTTTGGTAATCGAGGACCTCCCCCTTCAGTGTCCTGTTATTAGTTTTTGCCTCTACCTAGTCAAAATTCCCAATACAAATATTTAGTTTACTCAATAATATTAGGCTAAATAGCTAAAATGGTCCATGAGATTTGCATAATCAATAGAAATGTCCCTGAGATTAAAAATTAATAGAAATGGTCCCTGAGATTGTCCACCCTCCATGATTTTAGTCATTCCGTTAAAAACTTTTTATCCAAATTCGATCCATAATATATCAAAATGAAGATAGAAAAATGTGAAACAAGATTATACCTATTTGGATGCCCAATGATTGTCGGAGATGGCCGGAAAATAGCCTGAGGAGATGGCCGGAAAATAGCCTGAAAGGTGACTGGTCCACGGGAAAATTCGAAAACTCGCCGAAAACTAAGTAAACTTTAAACATTCATAACTTCTTCAATACTCAATGAAATTGAGTGATTCTAAAACAAAAATCATATTTCTTGACAAGACAAAGAGAATGTACCTTTCTCGAAGGCTAACTCGCCTTTTTTTTGCTGGAAAACGACTCAAAAGTGGCTAACTATTTTCGAGTTACCCACTTTCGAGCCATTTTCCGGCCAAACCACGGCAAGTTAGCCATCTAAAAAGATACTATTCTCTTCATCTCGTCAAGAAGTATGACTTTAGTTTCTGAATCACTCGATTTCGTTGAGTATTGAAGAAGTTATGAACGTTTAAAGTTTACCTAGTTTCCAGCGAGTTTTTCGTTTTCCAGCGGACCGGTCACCTTTCAGGCTATTTTCCGGTCATCACCGGCAATCATTGAGCTTCCAAATAGGTATAATCTTGTTCTACACTTTTCTATCTTCATTTTGATATATTATGAGTCGAATTTGGTTAAGAATCGATTGAGTTATGAAGCTTTGAAAATTGTCCAAAGAGTTTTTAACGGAATGACCAAAATCATGGATGGTGGACAATCTGAGAGACTATTTCTATTGATTTTCAATCTTAGGGACTGTTTCTATTGATTATGCAAATCTCAGTGACCATTTTGACTATTTAGCCATAATATTATGACCTCATATTAATACAATTTTGTGTATAAATCCTTGTATAGGTTGTGTGCCTATTAATTTTTCCATAAACTGGGCAATTTCAAAAATTTCAAATACTCCTCTCTAAACTTCTCGCTCCGTATATTCGTTGAGAGGCCAATAAAGTTTTTCCTCGCTTTGCTTTCTTTGGATTGGCCTTGTCCTCAGAGAAAACTTGTTTCGAGGAACCTCCAGATGCCATTTTGGATGTTTCTAGTTTGAGTTTGTAAGAGGCTGTTCACATTTTCCCTACTTCTCTTGCTAGCTTGTTTAAACCTCTTCTATCAATGAATTTCGATTTTCATCCAAAAAAAAGACCTCTTTCTACTCTTTTTTTTTTGTCTGAGTTTCATTTGGTTTAGGGAATATTGTACTAAGAGTAATACTAGGTTGAACAAATTTTTAAATTAAATTTGTAAATCATATGATATGTTATTGTAAAAAATAAACACGTTAATCAATACTTAAGTAATAATTCAATCATAAAAAACCACGTCATATAGTTTACAAAATTTAGTTTAAAAATGTGTCTCCCTAGTATTACTCTTGTACTAATTCACCCACTTAATTACTTTTACTGTTTTACCCACCA